TTTTTTGAGACAGAGTTTTGTTCTTGTTGCCTAGGCTGGAGTGCAATGGTGCAATCTCGGCTCACAGCAACCTCTGCCTCTGGGGTTCAAGCAATTCTCCTGCCTCACCCTCCCTAGTAGCTGGGATTACAGGCATGTGCCACCACACCCAGCTCCACACCCAGCTAATTTTGTATTTTTAGTAGAGGTGGGGTTTCTCTATGTAGGTCAGGCTGGTCTCAAACTCCCAACCTCAGGTGATCAGCCTGCCTTGGTCTCCCAAAATGCTGAGATTACAAGAATGAGCCACCACACCCAGCCCACAATAATAATTTCAAAGTTGGCAAGTTATGTCGAATCTTAGGATGAACTGAGGGGGATAAGAAATCTTGTTCCTTTATGGGAAGGCTTTGCCTAGAAAAGGTTTTTGTCCTGTTGTTAACATGCCTGATATTATCATATGTGATAGCTCTGTTAGTTCATCCTTACACTGCTATAAAGACATCCTGAGACTGGATAATCTATAAAGAAAAAAGGTTTAGTTGACTGACAGTTCTGCATGGCTATATGGGAGGCATGGCGGGGGAGGCATCAGGAAACTTACGATCATGGTGGAAGGTGAAGGGAAAGCAATGGCAACAGGAGAGAGAGAGAGAGTGAGCGAAGCAGGAAGTGCTACACATTTTTAAATACCCAGATTTTGCGACAACTCACCATCATGAGAGCAGCAACTGGGGAGTCTGCCCCCATGATCCAGCCAACAACCACCAGGCCTCATCTCCAACAGTGGGAATTACTAGGTTAGTGCAAAAGTCATTGCGGTTTTTGATGCTACTCTTAATGGCAAAAACTGCAACAACTTTTGCACCAACCTAATAGTGTTTGAGGTGAGATTTCAGTGGGAACAAAGAACCAAACCATATTGATATATTTTTTGATAGAGCCCCCTTTATTTCAAAGAGAAAGCCTAAGGTTTTCCTAGTCGGGTATGACTTTCTGAGGCACATTATTTCCTAGGATGCCTATGGATCCTGAAGCAGTGCTGGCCTCCGTGTGCAGGCAGGGATTTCTGTGCTCTGTGTCCAGTTTTCTGATCTGTTAAGTGGGGACACTCATGCCCCCTTCCCTGCCTACTGTCAAGACTTATGATGAAGATTCAGTGAGTTGATGTGTGTGGAAGTGCCCTGAAGATAGGAAATCGCTGTTAAAATATAAAGCATTATTATAGGAGCTGTGTATAATGTGTTGGCAAATTGCTTTTGATTTGAACTAATGTGGCTTCCCTGATGGCAGGATTGGAGAATACTAAATAGTGGGAAGCATCTGAAATTGATGGCCTAAGGGTGTGATTATTTAAAACAAGCAGCCCTGTTGTCAGTGGGAGAACTCTATAGAAAACAGGTCCCTAATTCTTTCCCTTGATTTGTCTTTTTTTGTGTGTGTGAATTGTCTGCAATTTAGCTCTTTAAAGAAATGCTATATCACCGTGTCAGATGAAAAGAAAAGAGCAGTTATTTGTTGTCTTTCATGGGTTTTGTTCATGTTTAAAGATTTTAATGAAATCCATTTTAGACAACACCATCATCTAGCTGAAAAATATGAGAGACAGTAATTTTTGTGGTTAAGGTTGGAGACTTAATTATCCCTGTTACCTTTGGAAATCTATTCTTGCTGGCGGTTTTTCTACAATAAAGAAGACTGAAAATTCAGATGATACCAGATTCTGCATTCATAGGTAGGTATTTAATTCAGTGAATCTGGAGCATGTGCAGATCATGATGTAAATTATAGTTTAAGTGCCAGAAAAGGAAAACTGAGACCCTTATTGGCTTTTTTGAGCATGGGGGACAAACTCCATCTGCTGGAGAAGGTGAAAGTACTAGTTTGTGAGTAACAGGAGTTGAGTAAGTAACATATAGGAAGGTGTCCAGGCAGAATTCACAGGAGCTGGCAATGGCCTGAAGCTCTCAGAGCACACTTTTGGAGGTGAACAAGGGCTTTGAAAGATGGATGGCATTGGGATTATCAACTCCCAAGTGAATTTTTTACTTTTGTCCTTGTCACTGCTGTCCTGTGTTCTGTTATCATAATTTGCAATGATGCAGCTTTAGTTACAACCAGTGTCTGATAAGAATTAGATATTTATCTCATAACAATATGATACAATTCTTTTGTAAGCGCTTGTCTATATTTGCAACAATCATGTAAGGAAAACAAAGCTTGTATCATCTCTGTTTTCCAGATAAGGAAATTGAGACTATATCAGCTTAGATGACTTTTAGCTACATCTACAAACAAGTAGGGGGGCAGAGGCAGAATGAGGCACAGCTCAGGTGACACAGGGAATATATCATGCAGATACCATTGTGTACTTTTTACTGTGGAGAGGAGTTCAATTCTAAAATGATCAAAGTTTTACGACTTTAAATAATTGAAGGTGGTAATTTGAAAATACACATGAGGAGGGGCCCTTGGGTACTTCTACGTTGGAGTGTTTATATCATAAATATTTATTGTGGGTGATGGTTCTTTTACATTAGATCTGAATTGTCCATTTAGTCACTTAAAACTGGAAGATGGCATGAACAGGGCAAGAGTCTAATAAACTATGCCAATACATGAAATCATTTTAATTCATTTATTCATTTATACACCCAAAGAACATTCATTGCATATCTATTGTGTGCCAGACATGCATCACTAAAACAGATTTCCCACTCAGGAAATTACCAAATGGAGGAGACAAGAGATATTAACTTGTAACAAGTATGTCTAATTTACACTGAGGAGTTTTTCAGTAGAGTTGGGTATAAAGGTTTTGAGAGCACAGAGAAGAAAACAATCAGTTCTTCTTGGGGGCTTCCTAGGAGTCAAGGGAGAGGAGAATTTTGTTGGCTGACAACGTCACTGTCACCAGAGGAAAAGGTGTGCAGGTACAGACTAGGAGGATGTTCTGGGTCTTATCTGGAGGCCAAGCATTTCCTGTAGGTAGTAAGAAGCCACTAGGCACTTTTAAATGGAGGCTGATTTGAGTTTTGTTTATGGTAATGATGTTGTTTTCCTCCCCCCAAAGCATTTTTTATAACAGCCAGCAGAAAGAGCAGCTGACTTGCTCAGCACATTTGACTCCGTGTCTCCTACTGAGGCACCATCAGCAGACTGGATAGTGGGGAGACACAAAGAGGCTTCCACTCAGTTCCCAGAATGTGAATTTCATTGGCAAGTTTAATGTGAAAACAGTATAGGAACTGACGTGGCCTTTCCAGGTTTTTAGTCTGCCGAGACACAGCCCTTAAATACAAATGAACTGCCAAGCAGGTTCGTCGTCCTCGATCACCCTCTATTCTTTCTTAGAGAAGAGCATACAGCAGGACCAAAAAGATGCAATGGAGGAGGCCACACTAAACGGTAGTTTGAGATGGGTCAGTGGAGCTGTGTGAAGAACACACTGCATTGTTACTGTTGTCGATTTTATTTTTTAAACAATATTGTATAACTTTTTTTTAGTTTATACAACCTAATTTTATTTAACTTATACAATACTAGGAAAACTTCTGTAGAGCCAACCCTGGTTTTATCATTCCCAGCTGCTGATTTTCAGGTGCTACTTTGACTTCTGCAGACAGAGAACTCACTACTCCTTTCCTTCTGAGGTACTGGCACAGCACGGCCACCTATGCCATAGCCACTGAGGTGAGTGGAGGTCTCCAGCACCTGCCCCCAGCCCATCACCCTGTATACCAGTGGCCAGAGGACCTGCTGAAACCCGACCTCGTCCTGCTGCTCACCGTGAGTCCCGAGGAGAGGCTGCAGAGGCTGCAGGGCCGGGGCGTGGAGAAGACCAGAGAAGAAGCAGAACTTGAGGCCAACAGTGTGTTCCGTCAAAAGTAGGTGTCCCGATGCAATGCGAGCAGCAGACGATCCTGAAGGGAGAGGAGACACTGGCACTGGCTTAAGGATTGTGAGGAAGTGATACTGTTTCCAGTTTTCAAATGCAAGAGGCAACTTCCTCTAAGTGACTTTAGCCCCTTTCAATGGGCTTGTCACCACAGAGCTGTACCATTGTTACCTTAAAGCAAAGGTCATCAGACTGGGGATCAGACCCTGCTGCTGGTCCTGACTGTGCTAGGAGCAGCTGCACCTGGAGGACAGTAAGTGACTCTGTGCCTCAGGTTCCCCAGTCTTAATACAATCACACAGAGCACTAGATAACGAGCTCATAGTAACATTTACCTATTAGGTGCTTCCCGTGTGTCAGGCATTTTACTGATGTTATGTCATCCTTGCAAGAAAACATTAGCCGTGTTTTACAGTTTACAACATTAAGGCTCAAAGGATTCAGTGATTAGTCTAAATGTACATAGCTCTTCAGTAGTAAAACCGAGATTAAAATCTTTCTGATTTTGCAGCCAGTGTGTTTGTTTTAATTAGAAAGTTATAAACACGAAGGCAGAAGAGAGTCCGGCCAGACCTCCTGCCTTATGATTATGAATCAGTTCTACAGCACTGCCTTTAAAAACTGAGGCAGAAATATTTTCTCTAACTAAACAATGATAGCACTGTTATCATAATGTAGTAATGTTATAATATAAATGATGGTGGCTGCTGTGGGTAAAGTTACTTTACTACGCCATTTGCTTGTATTAATTCCATTAAACCTCAGTGCACATTTGCAAGGAAGGTATTGTTTCAGTCTTCAATTTGCAGAAGAGGAAACTGAGGCACAGAGAGGATAAGAGATTTGACCAATTCACTTAGCTAGGAAGTGGTCAACCAGAGTTGTGGGTGCCTCTGTTTTAACCACAGTGCTATAATGATTCCATAAAGAAATGGGCACTAATCACTCTGCATACATGTGAGGGCCAGCTAGCATGGAAAGATGTGTAGATTTCTGGCAAAATATTAGAGAAGTCATCGGTGAAAACCATGCATATGTTAAGGACTCTGGCTTGTATGAAAATTATTCAGGGCATAGACTGGGGGGAAAATTTGCCCCTAAGCAAATCGCCTAAATTCTTTGAGCTTCAGTTGCTCTCTCTACAAAACAGGGATGACAGTAGTCTCCCTCCTCAGGTTACTTTGAGAATTAAAAGAGAAAAATCATGTAAAATGCTAATCTTGCCAGAAAACAAATGCTAGCTATTAAACATTGTCATTCATTCATTATTTATTAAACAAAATGCATCAATGTCTTATGTGAGAACGCCTAGTTACAGTGAGATAAGTGAGATGGGAAACTTATTTCAAGCTTTTTATACTATGGTAGGAAAAGAATATTAGTGGAAATAACTGTGTGTAAAAGTAGACCAACACTTTGTGTTTTGCCTGTCCCCAGGGTAGAAATGTCCTACCAGCGGATGGAGAATCCTTGCTGCCATGTGGTTGATGCCAGCCCCTCCAGAGAAAAGGTCCTGCAGATGGTCTTAAGCCTAATAGAAAATAGGTGTAATTAACTGTAGCTACTCTGATCAGGTGCCAGGTCTTACTAGATCAGATGTTGTTTGGAACATCTACATGCACCATTTGTTCTGCAGTGTTCCCAAATTTCTGTTGTACAAGCATGTTGTGTGGCAGAAAACTGGAGACCAGGCACCTTAATTTTACCTCAGCCATTGTACCTTCTTCTGACTGATGGATCCATCATCGGAATGGACCCTTTCATCATGTTCCAGTGAGAGACCAGCGATTGCTTTCTGCCTGGCATAGTAAACATTTCCTTGGAACATATGTTTCACTCCATCATCGCCAAATCTCTGGAAGGCCTGTCTTAGACAGTGCCAGGTGTACAGAAGCAGCAGAGAAGATCTTCCAGATCAGCGGGGCCCCTGCAGCCTCTCCTTCTCCTACACCAGCTTGCTGATGAGATCGTGATGTACCCAGCATTGGCTTCTTCCAGATCTGGTTGCACTCATCATGATAGGCTTGCTGCGTCTCCCACAGTCCCAAATTCTAGAGCCAAGAGTCCCTGCAGAAGCTGTCTATATGTCCTGATTGTCCAAGGACACTCCTGCAGAACCATTTTTGGGTAAGGGACACTTACAAAGAATACATCGATCTTGTGTCTGAGGCTCAGTGCCCTTTTGATAGGCTTCTGAGTCATATAAAGACATTCAAGCCAAGATGCTCCAACTTCAAATATACCAACCTCCTCTGAATTGTATTTTGCTTATTTATGTTCCTTTTCCTTTTTTCTAAAGTATGGCTCCGAATGGAGTGCACATTTCCATTGAACTAGATGCATTTCACTTAGTCAATGCATTAATTTATTTATATTAATCTATACATAATATCTTTCCTCGGCATAGGAGCTATGATTCACTAATTAAAAGTGGAGCCAAAACAGTAAATACAATGTTTGTCGTGTATTTTCATTACGCAAACTTAATTTATGTTGCTCAATACGTACAGTGGATCTTGCAGTGGGATTTCTTAGGAAATTAACTTGCACTTGACTGTCTCATGATTACACAGGAAATCGCCTCGATATCTCTTTAGACAGAAAACAGCTGAGCAAAGGGGAAATCATAGAACTATGTGGCTTTAAGAAGTAGGCTGAACCAGGTGATTACCTAAAATTCCTTCCAGTTTGAAGGCAGATAAATCTGTAAATTATTTTATCCTATCTACCATTTCTTAAGAAGACATTACTCTACCATAGTTAAATTTAAGGCTTTATCAGGTTTACTCTACAGAATCTTAAATTCTAATAAAGTTTCATGTTAACATCGTAGAATTTTTAAAAAGAACTATAGGTAATTTCTATATAATATATCTATGTATATAAAAATGTAATTGGTTTCAGTAGAAAGTATTTTAAAGCTGATAAATAACATTGGGCTTTATTGCAATGTGGTATCTCGCTGTATTATTGGTTGTATTTACTTTAAACATTTTGAAAGGTTATTCTGGCAGCCTAGAAAAACAAGCGATTAATGTATTTTTATGTCCCTTGCACATGAATAAACTTTGCTGCGGTTTAGTAACCTATGCTGTCATCCTGGGTACGTATTGATTTGTCTGAAAAGTGCTTTCTCAGTTCCCCTTTTAATATTGTGATATAAAGGAGGGAAGTTTTGGTAAAGAAAATGAAAGTGTGAGCTGGCAGGCTGAGTGGAATTTGTGGTCAACATGCTTTCCAAGAAAGGGGAGGGTGATTGTTTTCTTTTAAATATCATTTCCTCATGACATCTATTAAAGACTTTTTGTAATCCATTGTTTGTATACCTGGGCTTTTTATACACTGATAAGTATCTATGACTTACAAGTACTAGATAAAATAGCACCTCCTACCCTAAAACTGATGGCAACTTATTATTTGTTTAACTCTGCTCATTGCAAGATGACCTTCATTTTTGTTCCTGTGACAGACTATTAGTTGCCCCCAAATTTTTTCTTCCCAAATTTTTTCTTCCTTTCTTCCATGGTAATAGAGTGTTTAGCCTGGTACGTGGGCGTTGAGAATTCTTAGTGCATTTCCAAGGCTCTCTTACAGCTAGAGGTGGACAACTGGCTAGTTTCTTGCCAATAGTATTTGAGCAGAAGGAATATCTGAAATGTCAAGAGGATATGATCCCTTTCCCCTTTAACCCTTCATATCAGCTGAATTCAGAGGTGACAGTGAGCCATCTAAGGATCAAAAGATGAGGATGACACTGGAAGTAGTTTTAGCTTGCCTTAGGTAAATAGCAGGAAGGGTCCCTGGAGAGCCCTCAGCCCACTGGTCAGTGCTTCACCCCCACATCATGTGAAAAGTATCCTGGGAAAAAAGCCAAGCTGCAGGCACTGAGAAGGGAACTAGCAAAGGGTGTTGTGCCTGGAGACATGCCCACGGCTGCACAGATAGGAGAACCTCTGGCCCATTCAGATCAAAGCTTGCACAAACCCCTGGCTCACTCAGATCAGGGAACAAGTCCTGGCATAAAAATGACTTTGTCCTTTGTATAGCCACCGGGCTCCCAGGAAAAAGTTCTTTCTCCTTTTGTGGGAGTGGGCACAGTAGGCTCCAGTGGGTTCCAGTGGTACACTTTCCTTTCCTGGTTTTGGACTGATTTTGGCCTCTATGAATCATCAATCACTTCAGCCTCTGATTGGTCCTGGGCCAACGTTCTGGGTCAAACTTTCACTCCAGCTCCTGATAGGTCCCTGGACCAAGCTAAGCAGTCTCTATGAATCATCACTTCAGCCCCTCATTGGTCCTAGGCCAAGGTCCCATGCCAGGCTTTCTGATTGGTCCTGGGCCAGGTGCCTGGCTGTGCCGAGTCATCTTCTCCAGGACAGCCTGCAGACTAAGCACATTCCTTCCTCTTTCTAGTTCATAAAACGCCCAGAACTGGCCTCATAATAGGCACCTCATTAGGAGAGTTTTCTTTTCGAGCTTATTAAACTTTCACTCCAACTTCATCCTGGTGCCTGCATGCCTTAATCTTCTTGGAAGTAGGACAGAACTTTCACACAATGGAAGATTGTTACATCTTGGTGCATTGGTAAGACTACAACATATTTTGGTGCATTGGCCAGGAAGAAAGGAATTCATCAGAAGGATAAGAGTTGACCTTTAACTTCAACCCTTTACTTGCATTTCTGAGGCTTCTTGTCTATTTTAATCTAGTTTCTTTTCACAGAGGGCCTAGCTGTCATGTGGGATTAGAAGGTCCCAGGGCAACCAAAGGTTTCTGTTTGGGGCTACCTCTCAGTGTTTTCTGAAGGCCCTTGGACTAACTCCAGTCTCTACAGCTCTCCAGGGAGTCAGAACAAGGACTTCCAATCTTTTCTTACCACATTTTTGTTCTTTCTTCTTGTTGCTATCATGTCTCCTGTCTCTTCTTTGTAAGCAATATGTTGATATTTTTGCAACCTAGGGATATAATCTTGCTAAATAGAGTTAGTGTCTTAGTAATCAGGAATGTAATTCAAAGAGTGTTGTTTTGTGATTTCCTATAAATTGGGAATTCATGACCCCAGTCTAAATTTTCACCTAGCAAGGGCCTTTTTATCTCTCAATAATAGACATTCATGGCACCATATGGGAGGATCTTTCAGCCCCAGAGAATATCCTCCTCTGTATTTTGATTGTTTTTTCCTCCATATAAGAGTTCAGCACTGTCTAATGAATTTAAACAGATCTTTCATGAGGGAAGTTAATTTTCTTATGGTGGGGGGCTTACTATGGGGATAACCTATCAAACCACAAATCTCTCTTTCTAACTTTTGCCGGAAAAGAATTTGGAGTCAGTTTTCATTTAACATTTCTAACCCTACAGCACCACCTAGTAGAATGGGACCTTTCTCTGCAGGGAGCCTTATCATCTCTCTGCCCCAAACCTCTTGTTTCCCATTTCTTTTCCCTTTTACTTTCCTCTGTCAGTTATCAGGGCCATATGTCCTATTTGTAGAAAAAAAAATCCCTGGTTTTGACAGCCAGGAGGTAGCCAACCTGATAACACAGATCTTGGCTTTGATATTGTCTCCATCAAAGGAATGGCAGCCATTCAATTCTTACGCTCCTGTTCTGCATTCAACTATATAGGGATTTATTTTTAAAAAAGAATTTTATGTTTGGAAGTTAATCAGTCCCATTCTATGGGATTCTGATTTTTCACTTGGGCCATAGCAAGGGAAGCCAGAGATGGTATTGGGACACTCCCTCCATTAAAGAGTCTTGCCCAAATCCAAGTACTACATAATCCCTCCTAGGCCTCTTGGGGTACCTTGGGAGCCTTTTGGGCTGAGTGCGTCTAGGAATCCCACAGGGCAGAAAGCCAGGGCCTCATGCAGGTGAACATGACTAGTCCTGCCTACTGGTCTCCTCTGGATCCATGGGTGAAAGTTATGCTTGCATCCATAGGACAGCATCTATGATGGTTGCAGGGACCCACCCAGAGAAGAGAAGGAAGAAGGAAAAGAGGGATGCCCTTTCTCTCTTTTTCTCCACTTTGGGTATCACAGAAATGAGGAAGTGGACTGAGGGATGCCTTGTCTCCCCTCTCGTATTAGATGTGTAACAAACCTTCTGCAGTCCATACTCCCCTCAAGTGCATTCTGAATCACTAGAATTCCTTTGACCCTGAGAATCTGAAGATAAAATGGCTCATATTATATTGTATAAGGGAATGGCCTTTTCACCATCTTGGGGATGAACCAACCTGGCTTTCTGAAGGAAGTCTTGATTTCTATGGTATTCAGCAACTAGATATTTTCTGTAGGTGGGAAGGTAAATGGTCTGAGGTTTTCTATGTACAACCTTTCTTTGCCCTGTGAGATAGTCCAAATCTTTTTAAGCATTGTACAATTGACCCTACACTCTTGGCAGCCATGTCAGACAAGCTTACAAAAGATCTTCCCCAAAGTCAGAGAGTCAAACCCTTGGGGAATCTTCAAATGCAACTTCTGGGTGCCCTACCTGCCCCACTTATTCAGGGCACCCAATGGCCAAATCATTAGCTCCTCTGGTTGTGCCACTCAAGAAATTCCCAACTTTGCTCTTGCCCCTGCAGGAAATGCCCAGTGGACATAATGCTACTAGAGTTCAAGTTTCTTTCTCATTGAAAGACTTTTGACAAATAAAGGGGGACCTAGGCAGGTCCTCTGGTGACCCTGATAGATATATAGAGACTTTCCAAAATTTAATCCAAGTCTTTGATCTTACATGGAGAGATGCTATGCTACTTTTAAGCCAAACCCTAACTGTTTCAGAAAAGCAGGCAGCCTTACAGGAAGTAGAAACATTCAGAGACGAACAACGTTATCTCCTATAAGCAGTCTAAAAGCCTGGAAGGGGATAAGTCTAAAATAAGGGAGGACAAAAGAGAAAAGGAAGGTGAGCAAATAGCAGAATCTCCATTCCCATAGAGAGGGAGGCAGTATTCCTCAAAAATCCCAACTGGAATCCCAATGATCCTATAGATAAGTTGAATAGAAAACACTTTCTGATGTGCATGCTGAGAAGCTTGAGAAGGACCAGTACCAAACCTCCTAATTATTGTAAGTATCTATGATAGATTATAAAAAAAGATGAAAATTCCTCAGCCTTTATAGAAAGGCTGAGAGAGGCATCAGTGAAACACACCTCCCTACCTGCTGATTCAGTTGAGGGATGGCTAATCTTAAAAGACAACATTATTATCCAGACAGCCCCTGATATCAAAAGAAAATTGCAGAAACTGGCTATAGATCCACATAGTACTCTAGAGAACCTCTTGAAAGTGGCTAGTTTGGCCTTTTACAATAGAGTCCAGGAGGAATCCCTGGAGAAAAAGAGGACATATGAGAAAAACAGAAGGTCTAGCGGCCACATTAGAAGCCTGTAAAATCCAGAATCCCTGTTGTGCATTTGCTAATTGCTACCAATGTGGCAAACTAGGGCACTTCAAAAGGGGTTGCCCAGATAGCAAGAAGAAGCCACCTCCACCCTGTCCAGCCTTTGGTAGACACCACTGGAATCCAACTGTCCTGGGAGACATAGGTAGCTGAGCCCAGAGCCAGTCTCCCAGATAGTCCAGTAGGACTAATGGGGCCTTGGGCTCAATTTCTTGGCTCCAGCAGCTCGAACTGCCATCACTATCCAGGAGCCCTGAGTGATTCTGGAGGTAGAAAGGAGGAAGATAAACTTCCGTCTGGACACCAGAGCCAGCCTCTCTGTTTTCCTCTCCAATGCAGGCCTTCTCTCTTCCCATAGTACAATGATGGTGAGCATATCAGGAAAGGCTTTAATCCAATATTTTCCATAGTTCCTCAGTTGTAGTAGAGGGGAATTGGTACTTACTCATGCCTTTTTAATCATGCCTGAGAGTCCCACTCCTTTACTAGAGATATTCTAGCCCATTTGGGAGCCACCGTCCTTATGGTTCCAGGACAGACTCTTTGCCTCCCTTTAGTAGAAACCAATATTAACTCAGAGGTGTGGGCAAGTCAAGGGAAAATTGGCCAGGCCACAGCGGCTATCCTGGTCCAGATTCACCTTAAGGATCCCACCTCCTTCCTTAACTAGA